GTGCAAGCTCGGCTGGGGATATCCTCGCGCTCGAGCCTACCTATGTATCGAGAGAAAACGCGCTCGAGCGAAATATTTATAACGTCGATCGATATTTAATCGGCGCTCGTACATATATTATTTGCGCGCGAGCTTTTCGCGCGCGATCAGCTACGACACACACGTGTTGCGGTCGCTGCGAGCTCCCTTACACACAGGGATAGGTAGGTAGGTAGGTAGCAGTAGCGTGTGTGTATATATTTTATGTACACGTTAGCATTCGATAAAAAATCTAATTGGTCACGCTCTAATTAAGACTGTACATACACACACATACGCACACACACACATGCTGGCGCCGAGGAGGAGGTACACATAGTAGCATACATAACGTATAGAGCGAGCTCGAGGCACAGCATGGATTCGTATATATGTATAGCGGAGTCGCGCGTATACGTACGCTAATTGGGGCCATCGGAATAGGCAACGCACGTACACATACGCATACACACACACAAGGGTGCAAAGGGGGGCTGTTGCTGCTGCAACTCTTTGCCGCTGCGAAACGGAAAGTGTTGTGCTGGGAAGCAACAGCCCCCGAGACTATATAGGTACCGAACCGTCTCTCTGCGACGACGACGACGAGGCGCTGGCATGCAGGCAGGCAACGACTCACACGCACACACACAACAACGATTTTGCCCCGAGGCCAGAGAGAGAGACAGAGAGTCGAGCTACGTGGAACGTCGCAGAGAGAGAGGGTGGGTTGGTTGCCGAGAAGAGAAAGAAAGTAAAGCCCCGCAGCCGCCGCCGCTGCTGCTGGGATAATTTTCAATTCCTTGCGCGCCATATAGCAACATCAGCCCGGCACCAGAGAGCACCGATACCAAAGAGCTTTGTTGTACGAGCGGCTACACCGAGTCGCGCGCTAATTAATATTCCTGTGTGATTTTTTTTTTTTTTGCGCGCGCGCATATACGCCCCTAGCCCTGCTGCTGCAGCCCGACATCATTGTTGCACCACCTTTCTAGCTCTACGGAGCAGCAGATAGCACAGCTTTTTTCGGGAGGCGGATCGCAACGACGCGATGCTGCTATATGCAGGGAAAGAAACAAAAAACGTAAGAAACATATTTCAGTTCGAATATTCGTAGGACATCTATATCGTCATTAATCGGCGTATAAATGCAATTGCCTTATACATATATCACGTTTCCGGCACATCGATACGTAGAATGATACAATATATAAATAAATCTGCCTCGCGTTACACAGTCTAGGATATTGTACTTAGCAGGAAGGGCTGCGCAAGCAGAGATAACGTTACATCGCGGGCTATATATAATTATGATAGTCTCTCGTCGAGTGATAGGTATATATAGATACGTTCGAAAACTCGATTTGTGCAGCTTTCACGATCACACACACACACACACACATAGGCGCGACAGCAAGTGCGCTGTTGACGAAGAGAGAGAACCTCGCTGAGAAACGGGTACGATCGGGTACAATGGAGAGCGTCTCGACTCTATGTATATATACGCTGCACACACACTCGGGATATACAAAAACAAAGTCGATGCGTCTTATATAGGTACGTATGAAGCAAAAGCTTCTCTCGGCGATACACACACGCAATTAGACAGGTGCGTTTATTACACACGGTGTACACTTATAGGACCACCCGTAGAGTCTTGAGAAAGTTGAAGTTACCAAAAGTTTCGCGAGGGCGCGAATAATATATAGCACTTCGAGGCCCAACTCGTGTACGGGTAATGCCATGTACGCCGCGTAGCGGCGGCGATGTTTAACTAAGCCTCTTACGGCGGTATTACAGACTCGCGAAGACGTTTGATACGTGCACCCGCGTAGGATTATGATGATTCGCGCGATACTCTCCGCATCGAGTATACGGTAGTCTCGCGCTGCGAAACTCCCATATCGTATAGAAGATACGACTCGTGCGGAGAACTTCGAACTGCGAATAAACTCGAGAAGCTCCGAGCTTTTGGCGCAACTCGCTCGCGACTGCATAATAATAATAATAATAACGTGAGGAACATTTGGCGAAAAGGAATAAAAGCTCCGCGGCGAAACAATGACGCGTGTGTCTAATCGGGCGACGCTTAGAAAAACCTAAACTGAAAAGTGTACTTTTTTTCGCGATTCATGTTTTTATGGCGTATTTAATTCTAAATAATCCATTCAATTATCGTGATGTTTTTTACTCGGAACATGCGAGTATCTTTGCCTTTATAATTATATCAATATTAAACATGGGATAATGTAAAATTTTATCGGGTGTAAAATTACATGTACATCACCTTCAACGCAGTGAAACTCAATCTCGATAAATAATATAATTATAAATAACTGGTACTTCGCCTTTAACAGCAGAGGTATATAATTTTACAGCGAAAATTTGGATTTAGCACTCGTTAAAACGAGTCCAAATAGTTGTTTTACCGATACATCAACAATTTCGAAGTTCTAAATTTCCAAATATTCCAATGATCTCGATGCGATGAAGTATTCGACGTTCACTCGGTACTCTATATACAAGCATTAACTCGTTCGAAATAATTTGAGTATACAATTTAATTTACGCCAACTTTCACTACAAATATCCGAGCCTATTTTTATCCATCCTAATTTGAATAATTTTTCGTGTTTTCTCGCGCTTGCATCTTTCAATTTATCTAGGGATATAATTTGATATTTAATGAACGATTTCTTTCTATCGATGACGGCAAATTGTGAAACTTGATGTTATCGCAAATGTTTATACTTAAAAAACTTTAGAGCTAATCAGTTTTATGTAAATTTTGTTTTGTTCCGATTTTCATCCATTTTCTTGAATTGGAAATCGCACGATGACCCTTAATATATTTCACGAAGTGGCGCGAAATTTCACCAATGGAGACAATGCATTGATCGACGTTCGAGCTTGCACAATTTTTCCCGACGGTCTGCGCTTCGCCGTAACGAGCTCGAAAAATTGCCAGCTTGAATAATTTTCTCGGGGTTTTTCCAACTTAGCGCGTACTATATTCACTTCAGATTTCTTACATTCCTCACGGCACACCACATGGAAAAAACAACTCCGCCGTGCGTAGCGATTTTCGAGCGCGCGAGAACGCGGAGAAAGATCGAATTTCGACTTACCGATACAGGACAGCGCAGCGAGCAGGAGCAGCATGAAAATCGATTTGGTATCAACGATCCAAGACTTCGCCATGGCTCTCTTGTTTTCCTGCTTTAGCACACTGGACAGTTCTCTTTTTTTTTTTTCTATTATTATTATTCAACACACGCGTAACGTAAGAGTCCACGTGTAAAATGCCAAAATCACATCAGATCTCACACCAATATATATACCAATAAATCGATTTCACTGGGTACGATTAAACAACTACGAAGGCAAAAAATTTACATAGAAGAAGAAGAGGAGGAAGAAGAACGAATGTAAATCGGGAAAACGGATGATTATATTATATCGATCAACAAACAACGGGCAATCTCGGCGTATATATGTATGATATATACCGTAGAGCCGTGCTCTCGAACGCAACAGCAGCAGCAGAGAGAGAAGTGAATCTGGCGCGCGTCGTCGTTACACTGACTGCTGCCGCCTTGCCGAGTCGCAAGCTCCCTCAGGACCCGCCTGCAAGCTCGTCGTGCGCACGCCTCGTCGGCATCGTCGCTCGCCGATATATAGCGCGGCAGCAGCTGCCGCGTCGAGCGAGATACCAATATACAATACTCAACGCTGCCCTTTTTTTTTGATGAGAGGAACATTAGAAGATTACGTGCGATAGATTTTTGCAGTTTTTTCTTGTTCGATCAACGAATTTTCCCCCAAGATATCGCGAAACTTTGGAGAACGGCAACAACGACAACGAAAAAAAATCATTAAGAAAAACATCGACTCACCGTGTGTCCTACTACTGTCGCAACTTCTGCGCGAATCGCGCAAATTAATTTGGAACTAACTGCACGCGCGGTGGCTTTCGCGTGCACGATGACACTCTCCTCCCATTTCCTGACGCAGAGAAATTGTTATTAATTGTGGTTGGTTAAGCTCGACGGTGTAACTGTGAGAAACTTTCACCCCCCCCCCCCCCCCCCCCNCCCCCCCCCCCCCTCGCTTTCCGTGCGAGTACGTATACGAAATGCAAAATCAATGATGTTTCTGTATACGAGAAGAGATTTTGTACCCGTGTACCCGTTTACAAAGTTCAGACCCGAATGTAGTACCGAAAATTAATTTGATAAACTGATCGAGTGAAGTAGTACATCGCGATAGACAATTAAAAAATTGATGAATATTTGGCTTGAGGATTTAAAAAATTAGCCTCTCGCAACTTCACGTTTGACAATAATCGATGAATATTTCGAGACTGTAATCATTACTACCTCAAATTAGTCTAGCCATCCAATCTCTTTCACTGGGAAAAAAATCTATCCTTCAAACCGAATCTTGCCGCGTACTTTCTCGAATCGGCCAACCCTACATTACCGACTGCCCCCAATGTACCTTTGAATTTGCCCTGTTACCAACGATTAAAAATGTCAATCAACTGTTATCGGAGTAGCTCCGAACATAAGAAATAGCTATAAGTAAATATATCCCAACTGTAAATGTAAATGTATTTCTTTTCCCCGAGAGGTAGCTGTGTGGTAAGCTTAAAAACGAATTTTTAAACTGCTCGTTTTTGAATAATTTAATTTACATATTAATAAACGAGACTGAATTCTCGGAAAATGTTTTTTACAATCAATATAGACATTTTTTTCATTTTTAACGTTTTATTTATGTTCGAAAAATATTTTCGGTATAAAGTAGAAGTAAAAGGAGAAACAAGGAATGATCGTTAAAGAATACACAAATATAAATTTTGATATAATTAATATCACTATGGTTTCATTATCAATTTTAATGAAAAATTTATTTTATTACTTATGGTACACTTACAACTTATTTTTGGAGTTGCAGATATTTTTGAAATTAGAATGCTAGTACTTGCAACTATCACACTATGTTTATTATCTCGTGTGCAGAATCAAAGTGGATTTTGAAATGCCCCTTTCTGAAGAATGGTTTTTCACAAATGTCACTTAGCTAAGTAATATGATTACGCATCGAATCCATATGACATTTCAGATCGGTTTTTCGAGTATATGATCTTCTTCTTACACCGCAGCTATGAGGTTTTCGACCATTATGCAATGAATCAATGTGTAATTTGAGAGAACTTTTGCCTTTAAATGACTTTTCACAAATGTCACATGGGTAAGCAATACCATTATGCACCATATCAATGTGGATTTTCAGAGAACACTTTTGAGAAAATGACTTTCCACATATATCACAGTTGTAAGGTTTTCGACCATTATGCACTGAATCAATATGGTTTTTGAGATAAACCTTTTGTTTAAATGTCTTTCCACAGATTTCACACGGGTAAGCAATACATTTATGTATCGAATCAATATGAGCTGTCAAACTTTGCTTAATTCCAAACGACTTTCCGCATAAATCGCAGTTGTAAGGTTTTCGACCATTATGCACTGAATCAATATGTGACTTAAGATAAGCTTTGCTTTTAAATGTCTTTTCACAAATGTCACACGGGTAAACAATACGATTATGTATCGAATCAATGTGAGCTGTCAAACTTAGCTTCAATCCAAACGACTTACCGCATATATCGCAGTTGTAAGATTTTTGACGATTATGCAATAAATTAATATGTGACTTAAGATAAGCTTTGCTTTTAAATGTCTTTTCACAAATGTCACACGGGTAAGCAATACGATTATGCACCATATCAATATGAGTTTTCAGAGCACACTTGAATGAAAATGACTTTCCGCATGTATTGCAGCTGTGAGGTTTGCGATCATTATGCAATGAATCGGTATGTACTGTCAGATAACCCTTATTTGTAAATGACTTTCCACACATATCACACGGGTAAGTTATTCGATTATGCACCATATCAATGTGTAATTTTAAAGCACCTTTTTGTGCAAATGACTTTCCGCATGTATCGCAGATATGTGGTTTTAGACCATTATGCAATGAATCAATGTTTAATTTGAGAGTACTTTTGCTTTTAAATGACTTTTCACAAATGTCACACGGGTAAGAGATACATTTATGCACCATATCAATATGTGTCTCCAGACTTTGTCTTAAAGAAAATTTTTTTGAATACGACTTGCATTGACTGGATTGTTTTCTTTTCTTTACTAGAGAACACATTTTCATTTTCTGTCCGTTGAGTTTGCCTCCAGTATTTAAATCTGTACTTTTTATGGTATCGCTGAGGAACTCTTTCTTAACTATGCTCTCAGTTTCTATTTTAATTGAGGAATGATTTAAGAAATTATTCACATCTTCGTCCTCAAATTCTGCTTTAATTTCTTTGTTAGCATCAAATCTAAAAATTCCTTCATTCACTTTATCAGATACTAATATATTCCCATTGAGTTTCACATCTTTGCACTCGAATTCTATTTTAATATCACGATTAGGTGGAAATTCATAAATTCCTTCGCATTCTTTCCGTATATGAATCTGTTATAAAAGAAAACACTCGTGACAATTTTGTTAAAAGATGATTTTTTAATCAATGAACTTACGGTATTTTCTTGCAGGAAGCTGAGGTACTGGACATTTTCAGTATCAGATGTATGGCATTTCGTTCTACCATTATCACTTTCGATATAACTCATATCAATGGACTCTTCTTTCACTCTGAAAATATCGATAAAATTAATAAATAAACCCTTCGTTATTTTGCTAATTTATTTTGCATAACGACAATTACTTGGTAGCGTAGCTGAATGTACCACTAGATTCCATTTTATTAAATGCAATTAAAATTGGTTAGTAATACAAATCGTGAAATCGAAATGGCGACGAGTCAACGCAAGTAAAAGAACAAGAACTGAGCAATTCTGAGTACTCGAAATGTTTACAAGTATCGAACTGAATTGATACCAGCAGATGAAGTCAAGGTGGTAGAAACTGGATCAGCAAACGTAATAGACTTGACGCTCGAGTATCGCAGCCAAGAGTTGCATTTGAAATTATTCAATTTTATATTTGAACCGAAATTCATAAACTGTGCAATAAACAAAAATAATAAAGGAAATAATAATAATTCAGGTCTCTGAAAAGGAGTCTTAGAAAATCCCGAAGTTCAAAACAATTTGTTGATATTTCTGACACGAGAAACCGTTTGTTTTTTAGATATTTTAATTAATCTTGAGGAAATAAAGAAAATAACATATAAGTCTTACTTTTTTCCGAAACACTTTTGAGGCAATAAATAAAAGCTGGTTTTGCATCATGTATTTATTTCAAGATCTTCAGCTGTTTTTCATATACTCGAAAGACTATTCATGTATACATTTCATTACCTGATATAGTTTTTTTTTAAATTCAAATAATTTTTTCTAGTTTTGTAATGGATATTTGCAGATTAGCAGCTTACATTTAAAAAGATTTGAAGCTTTCTTTTAGTTTTCATCAATGAATATATTTTTTTTAAATGACATCTCACCATTATTCATTTTACTTTAATAACTTTCAAAAATACAATAATTTTTTCATAACTGAGATATACTTATACTATCTATTTGTTGGATTTATAAATCATGAATTCTGTTCAATTAGCCAATCGTAACTGTGTCGTCTCATTTGAAAAATGTTTTTTGACCAGATTCGGAAACGGGCTTTATCAAAGTTTACATCAAAGTGTCAATTACCATGATTTCGTTGTCTCGAGAATAAGAACGTCAATTTTTAGTTAAATATTTTAAATTAATGAATCTATGAAAAAGGAAGCTCGTATAAAATTTCATTTGTTCAAGTGGAAGTGTTGATCGAACATTACAACATCTCATAAGCTTAAAGCTTAATTAATAATAGGAAAATACGTCTAGTTAAAGTATTTAGTCTCAATTGCTTTAGATGGAAATTTCTACATAAGACTCATGGAGAGTGTACTATGACGAAGTTTCAGAGCACTTTTAATGTTTCATATTAGTTTTCTATAAAATTGGATTTATAATTACAATCATTTTAACATTTTTTAATTCATTTTATTGTATACAAAACGAAATGAACTAACTAACTTTATCGAAACTCTATTTATAGCATACTAGAAAAAGAAAAATATTGCAAGATTGCAATTTACATTTGATATTTTCTGTGAATAAATGCCACCTGAATGAGTCTAAAATGAGTGAAAATGATTATAAAACACAATTTTTGATTAAAAAAGGGATAGCTATTTTATTTTTACAAGCTAAGGTTTGGTTAGAAGATAGGATACTCAGAGCAAGATAAAAATTTGAATATACATCAGAAATTTTTTAACACTTATTTAATTCTTTTTATTTGCCTTTTTTAATACGGAGAGATATAGAAAAACATAATGATTGAGAAATAAACGATCTTATGATGCATATTTTGATGCCTTGATGATAATAATGATCATAATTTGTTTTCATGGTATTCATCGTCTATATATAATAATACCCCATATCATAAAGTGCACAGTTTATATTAAAACTATAAACGCAATTGTATTTGATATAATTTTGCGCACATGCACTTTCAAAAATATTTCCCATAGATTTTATAGTTTAGATTTTCTTTCAATTTTACTTCCTACTTCCATACTCATTTTTTTTATTATCGCAACATTCACACTCTACTTTTCTCTCTCACTTGTTTATATCATAATTATCATTATTATTTATATTATTATTATCATCATTGTCTTTTCCTAGTTCTTGTAGTTTTTCTTCAATTTAGTTCGTATTGATGCTGTTATAAAGGAGAGCAGAATAAAATTGAGCTTTTGTATCAACCAGCAATCTAATTTCAAATTGTGTGTTGAGAGTCATGCGCGTGATTAATTTTTTCATCAAATGTTATGAGAAATATGTCGAATGAAAATAATATATGCTTTCTGAACAACCAGTATATTGACCATTGTATTTTACATTGAAAAATATATTATCGAAGACTAATAAAATACCATGCTTTCCGATTTATCTAAATTTTTTACATAAAACTACATAACCTGCGAGCTCGGTACTAGGGCCATTTTTCAACATACAAAGCTTAATACATTATAAAAACATTATTACAAACGATACATGCAAGTACTCCGACCTCACTCTCCCCTTCAAAAGTTCATCTACATCTCGTATTATTTTAATGACAGAAATCTTTTAGCCAACTTTTCTTGATTCACTTTCGAATTTGGAAAGATTCTTCGTTCGGCGATCAATTAATAGTATCTCGTAACCTTCTATTTAAAAACGTTTAAAAAAATGAGAAAAAAAATAAACTGTAGCCGAAGTAAACAGTCGCTAAGAAAAAACACAATTAAGTTACTAGCATGTTTATTATGAGTTTGGATACACATCATTTATTAAATGGAAAAAAACGAAAAAATGACACTATCTAATATAAATTTTAGAATGACACATTTATTCGTTCTTCTCATCATTCTCATACGTTCCACTCGACGTTAGCCCACCACATATAATAAAATCTCAATTTGTGCACACATGCCTTAATGCAGCGCGATACTCAAAGTTAGTTTCGTATTATATACAAGACATATTCATAAAAAAACTTACGAGCTCACGAAGAGTAATGATTTTTCATTCATCCTTCGATACACAGCGAAGCAATGACCTCTCGTACTTTTTTCTCATTTAATCTTTCTGTGAACATTTTAGCTTTATACTTCCTTTCGGATTGGGATTGTTCTACATTGTAAACACCCTGTGCAAGCACACACTTTCCAATTGTCATATTTTTCTCAAACTCGTCTACATACAATTTTTTTTCTCTTACGTATTCAATTAATATTTGTGTACAAATGCTGAAGTGTACTTAATATGTATGTGTGTACGTCAATGGTTGAAATCAGCACACGTTCTCAACTATATAGTGTTTTGTCGCGTCTATTCCAAGGATATCAAAGCATAAGGTATTCGTTAGTTTATTATCGATTTTTAAATTATTTTCACTCAAATCAATTATTTGTTTTTCCCTTTATAATTTTGAATTTGCTCGATAGTTTTTTTTTGCTTACATGCGCCTTGAATACCCGAAAATAAACGCAGTCTCGGTATTCATTGGCTCTGGTATTTTATTTTTAGCTCTCAATTGTTTTACTTTTCTTTTAATTTTAAATAAAATTAAATTTGTTTATATTTATATATATATATATTTATATGTATATAATATAACTTCTGTTTTCATATCCTTCACTTTTATAATCATCTGCGGCTAAGCTTCTTCATCTTGGATTTGCAATGAATTATCTTTCTTTCGAGAAGGCGAGAGAACGCTCGTCAGAGAGGGCACCTCGGACTACTTTACAGCACTATACACAGCGATTTCTTTTTCTGCTTCGTTTTCTTTTCGGGAGACTTTTTGTTGATTTGCCGTACCAGATCGAAGAATATCTGTGGAGGAAAAAGAAAAGTAACGTTAACGTGGGGTGGGGCTCTCGTAATGTAATTGAAATTATATAGCGCGACGATATACTAACGTCATAGACATTGATTTTCGCTTTGGCAGATGTTTCCATGAAGGCGCAGTTGTATTGCCGGGCGAGATTGACGCCCTGATCCTTGCCGACGACTCGCTCGTCCTCGAGATCGCATTTGTTGCCGACCAGTACCATGGGCACGTCGTCCGTGTCCTTTACTCGCAGAATCTGCTCTCGCAGATCGTGCAGGTCGTTGAACGTCGACTGGGCCGTTATCGAGTAGACCAGAACGAAGCCCTGTCCGTTCTTCATGTAGAGATCCCTCATGGCCGTGAATTGCTCCTGCGGATGGAGGGAAAAAAAATGTCAGAATTGATCCAAGTGGTATACGTGTGTGTGTACCATATTGCGAGCGCGTGTCATTTCTGACGTCAACGATAAAGTAATTGCTCTTGTGTGTGTGTGCTATAGTCAACAACGGAGGAGCAATTCGGAATTTTCATTTTAATAAATTTGCGATAGCACCGCTGCTCTACGCGCGCATATGGTGCATAGAAAGCGAATGCGCGTAAATACACGTACTATCAATAATGTAAATACCTCGAAAGGAAAATTAGCTTTTTCCGCGTAAGAATATAATATAAGCCTAGAAAATACATAAATAGTTGAGCATCGAATTTTACGACGCGTTTTAAAAATTTATTCAGGCCAGTGGCTCGCGCGATAAATCCAAGTCTGCTTGATTTCGCGAGTGCTCCAATCTCGAGATGAAAAAAAAAAAAGAAACCAACTAAGATGATGAAAAGTAATCTATAATTATGATGGTACACCACCAAAAATACACATACCGTGCCCGCGGTGTCGAGAATTTCGAGCATGCATTGTTGCCCGTCGACCTCAACCTGTTTTCGGTAGCTGTCCTCGATGGTCGGGTCGTATTTTTCGACGAATATGCCCTGGACGAACTGTACGGTCAGGGCGGATTTGCCGACGCCACCGCTGCCCAGAACTACGATCTTGTATTCGCGCATTTTTTCTTTCTGATGCTGCTACTGCTGCTCGTGCTTGTTTCAATCGGAAGTCTTCCTCCTTGTGCCCGCGTCTTGTCCGCTAAATTCGTATCTGCAAAGAATAGAAGGATTTTTTTGTTAAGTACCATTTTTCTGACAATTAAAGTCTTATTATCAGAGATGAATCGCAAACAATTAAATGTATAACGAATGGTCAGTTATCCGCAGCTTTGTTCAAAAGTGGCGCCGGAAACACCCATGAAGAAATGATTCGTGCACTTCCCTTCTTTTGAAAAGAAGAAGCAAAAATAAAACAAAAACGTATATTTTTTAGCTCAAATAAAGATTCGAAAATTGGAGTAATCGAATTTTTCTTCGGTACTTTTTCTTCGGAATAGGTAAAGTGCAGGGAATCATTTCGTAACCGGTGTACACCACGAATATTAAAATTGAGGGCGACAACGGCGCAGTGCGGACGAACGACAGGTGATGCTTTTACGCTATATACTATACAAGTATTGCATAGACGAAGTCTATTCGATGCTACACTTCTTTCTATATAGCTACAAAATTTTACATCGTGTAACAGCTGTTGCGGTAATCACGCTTCATTCATTCATAATTTTGTGATAATTATTTTTGACAATAATAATAGAAAACCAATTAAAAAGCACTTCTTCTATCGAGAAAATACCCTGAAAACGTCGTGACAGTCTCGCGATAAATTATCGAGTTCGTTGCACGCTGTTGTTTTTTTTTTCTTCTTACGAGCCTGTTTATGCCGAGGACTCGACGACGATCCTCACTCCTGTCTCGAATAAAAAATGATATAAAGCCGCGTTATATATATTCGCGTTGCCACAGGTCGTTATACGGAATTGCGCGCGCGCATAAATGAGAGAGAGAGCGAGAGGTGAGAAATAAGCCATATAGACTATAGGAATATATTATATAGATCATTCATCGTGGAATATGAGCGTGCGAAGCGCCTAGCGCTGATTAGAGCGCACAACACAACGGCAAAAATAGCGAGCGAATGAAAAATTACAATTTTTAATTAATAGGCGCGCGCGTTAAATTGATCTAGGTCTCTGTGTAGGAGGTACGGAAATAATTGAAACGAAAAGTTGATTGCACGTGGATTGATTATACTCGTTCTTTTCTTTTCTTCTTTTTTCGTCTATTCTTTAGCGACGAAGAATGCCGTACGTCTCGTCGGGGGATCCAAAGGCTAGGGGTCTCTCATAATTCTTGACTGCGAGCCAAAAAATCTAAACTCTCTCATTTCGTTTCTTTCTCCGCTCGCTGCTCAAAGAGGTCGAGTACAGATTTTTCTCTCTCTCTCTCTCTCCTTCATACCTCTGACATTCCATGAGTTAAAGGCGAATGCGGTATAGTCCACGTGTATTTTGTGTGACCTACTTAAATTCGTTTGTCTGTTTGTTTTGTATGGTCGGCGCGCGTATAGACACAAACGTATATACGTATTAAACGCAGAGAGCTCGAAAATAAAGGCTAGTTATATACGGGGGCAAACAAATTAGAGAATAAAAAATTAATTAGCCGGCGGATAGCGGGTAAATTGAGTTATAATTTTCTCGAGTCTGTATATATGTGTGCACTGTACATGGTTGGTTTCGAAATGAATCAAAACCCGATTATTGTTGTGCGGAAAAATTTTTAAATCAACCGATGATTTTAATATTTCATCTGCTCTAACATGAATTTTTTAATTCAAACGAATCAATAATATCGAGTAGCAGTCGACACAAGACCAATGATCGGAGCAAACTCATCGCGTAATTATTTCGAGCGTCTTCTTGAATAAAAGAACAGCAGCGCAATTGCAGAAAGTAGATTTTATAGCGAATCAGTGCATTTCACGGTACATAAATTATACTTTGCATCGCAGTGATCATTGCGAGCAAAGTCATTCGAAACTTCATGCGTTTTTTTTCCAATTTTTGATTCTCTCCTGCTTGTACTTGCTTAAAATTAAATAGAGCGTTACGCTTTACATTTAATATTATTTAATAACACTTCGCATTAAAATTAATTAACTCCAACGCGGGAGACGAATATTTCTACAAAAACACATTTTCCCTTTGAACTTATATATATTAATGAATGCGTATAAACCGAATTCGAGAGACTCTAGATATAGGTAGCGCGCGCGACTGACCTAATTAAAGAAGACATACGTATTACCATGAAAAGTAACATAGGACAGATCTAAGAAACACTGCCTCGAGAAGTGGGTCAGCCACCCTATGTGCCAGGCGCGTTTCTGTGTGTTTGTGTGTACAACGCTTTACTGATGCCGCAAAAACAGACACACGTACACGGACACGGACACGGACACGGATACAAAGTAGCATTTTTAAACTGTATATACTTATAAGTACACACACAATGTATACAGGCTTACGTATAACTAGTCGAGAGGAGTTGACCCTCCTAACCTCGATTTCTATATAATATACACAGAAAGTTGGGCTAATCGATATTCTTTCGAAGCGCGCAAAGACGCAGGAAATTTAGCATTAAAAACGGTTTCGTCGGCGCGGACTGTGCTGCGATTTTTTTTTCTTCGTCGTCGTATATCGATTCGTACGATCGATTACCCATCGATATATACGTTGACGAGAGTTGAAATATTTTCCGCTGTATATGTGCGCGCGGAGCGATCGAGCGTTCTGCGAAAATATTATATCGTAGCATCGTGCGTATACGCGTCGAGTGTGTGTTTGTGTGTGTATATTGTCCCCTTTGAACGCTATAACCGCGTTATCTATCCAACCAAGCCTAAATGCACGTCAGCTGCTATCGTTAGCAAGCCTGTGCGTATATATATACGTGGCACAGGAGTCTGTGTACTAACTCGATGCACGAGAGGGAGGAAAAGCATAGATCGACGTTGCTGAGTAATTAATTCGAGGAATATCAATTACTAAATTGACGGAGCGATGGAAAAAAGTATCGAACTTTGGATATCTGAAGAATTCTAATCAAGTTTGTAATTCAATGGTTGGTGGCAAGTATCAAACATTGGGTGACGAGGAAAAGCCCACTCAACCGTAACGAACTAAACATAACGATCGGAATCTGTGCTGCATAAACTGCAAAATTCTGCTTACGACTAATTTTCATGCGCGTTACGCAGGCAGTTTAAAATAATTATTCTCTCTCTCTCTCTCTCTCTCTGTGTGTTATATAAAGTTGAAGGGCCGTTGAAAAAAGTGTGTCAGTAACGCATTAAATTTATACATCACTGTCTTCTCCTTTTTTTCCTCGTCGTCGCTCGTTGTACTCCCTCGGGCCGATTTTGTCTCTCTGTTTCGAGCTTGCGCTTGTGTAGGCCTATCGATACCTTATTTCTTTTTTTTATCGACCTGTACTGGTCTAGGAAGAGTGTGAGAAATAAAAAAAAAATTGTTCGAGAAGCTGCCACGTGGTATTTATATTTTTGGACTTTTTACTCGTGAACAATAGCGGAAGAATTTTTCCTTATATCGAGAGTTTTTCGATGGGCGATGGTTGCGCGGTGGTGTCCCAACTTTGTTTGTGCGCGCGCGAGTCAACCTCGCTTTGAACTCTCTTTATCGATATACAGAGGCGGTAATAAGATCTTTTTCTTGTCACGAGAATGAATAGAGAAAAAAAATTTTTCGTCGCGCAAAAATAATTCCATTACGACGTCAGAAATCTTTGGCTCTCGATTTTCCGCGCTGTGCTGTCCTCCGTATACATCCGACAGCTATCTATCGTAGAAAATTTCAGGTCTGCCAAATCGACCTTTAAAATTTTTATCGTATCACGCAGACCGCGGCGCGGAGTGCGCTAAAATTTTAACGCGCCCAGTTGAGCATGAACGAAAACAGGAAAATATCCTAGACTATTGCTACTACGAGTCGAGTTAGCTGCGCGTCACGGAAGGTTTCAGGTCAGGCTACTTTAAAATCGACCAATCGACGTTGCTATCGCGACTGTACAACGTTTGCGGCCGAATTCGATGCTGGCTGAAATTTTGATAAAAACTTATCGCTCGCTTTACACAATGAGCTAAAATATAATAGCGGAATCGTTTATTCTATTCTTTTTTTTGCGAGAAAATATTATTAACGACAAAAAAGTATAACGCTTCGTTTTGAAATTAAATTTTTCCAGTCTGCATGCGGCTCGCATTTTCAATTAAACTAACGAAAATTCAATTAATTGCAAGCAGAAGCTGTAGAGCTGCGGGAAAGTAGCGTATCGTGAAAAATGCGAGAATCCAAAAAATGCACACTCGGCACCCGAAAGAATTTGATTTTCTAATTTTAGACTGCATTAAGAACAGTCGCATTAGGAGGAGAAAAAAAAAGAGAAACAACAAAAGATGACCTTACTCCGCGATATATATATCGGACAACAAACGCATTTTGTCTTATCGTCGTCGTCATCGTCAACATCGTCATAGCTCCAAAAACCCGCGCAAGAGGGACACAGTCTTTTTTTTTTTTTTATTTTTTTTTATTTCGCTGCTAGTTCAAGGATACGCGAATGGAAAGAGAGTCTCTACAAAGTAGAAAATATACACACGCGGGCGCGGTTATATGGAAGGTAACTAAAAAGAGAGAGAGAGAGAGAGAAAAAAAATCCTTCCAAAAACGAAGATTATACCCGACGTCGTTGACTGAAATAAAGAAAGTGAAATGTGTGCCAGGAAACGCATAGTAAACTCCTGTACGTATGTTCCTCCGCCTTATGCAAAAGTTAATTCAGGTCAGTCGTATAAAAGCTCAGTGCTACTGAATGCGCGCACATGTTTCTCGCTCAAAATTTAGCCTGCCCGCGCGCGGATCAATGAGAAATAATAATAATTGCGAGCTCGAAAAAATTCGCAATTTTTTTTTTTTTTGTTTTTTTTCATCTCGTGCGTCACTTTTTTTTTAGCCAAGAGTTTCACTCGGATCATTAATTATTCAAAATTTATGTGCAGCTCTTTCCGAGCGATTTGTAGCGGGTTATTTTACAGTCGATAATTGTGTATATCGAAAACCCATTTTTTTTTCGTAAATAAAACGCGATGAATCACTCGCGAGTCTTTTCGCGGTAGCGGAGAAAAAGAAAATAGAATTTAAAATTGTGCAATGCAATAAAGCCTAATGGAGGGTTTGAGTTTTATCTCGACCGTTTTTCTGGAACGCGTGCCGCAGACCCTTTTCGAGATAAAGAGCTATCAGTACGTACACACACAAGTAGAAAAGAAAGATTCACCGAAGAAAGTGAAAGATAAAAAATGCATTAGAGCAAAGCGAGTCGAGGATTTTTCGTCGGTCAAAACGAAGAACTTATTATTGTATTAATATTATTAAAGATGAACTGCTAAACCTCGAATGAAATTATCAGATCTTTCATAGTCGTTTTGCAGATTAATTATTTTGAACTACCCACCGTATCTAGATTTCAAAGAAACCAATCGGCCATTCGAATCAAATTGAATTTCAGCCGTTTCGTCGGGAAAATAGGCACGAAATCGAGAGATAAGAAAAATAAAAGACTCTTTATACACAATAGCGGGGATCGACTGTTATTATAATTGAACTAAAAACTCGATTGTTACGAGATGAATAGATCTCCAGAATCACTTTATGAAAAGAAAAACTAATACGGTTCAAAAATATTGAACGATTGCAAAAAAAAAAATGTTAAGCGCGAAGAATAACCTCTATCAAGCCGTTGTCGCAGGTGTAATTATGAACCAAAAAAGCAGAAAAAAATATTATCCACGAAAGGACACGGCTTATAAACCAACGAGACACATCTAGATATGCACATTTATACGTGGGAGTAACGTAGAGAATACCGCTCGAGGCTTTGCTTGCTATTATATGCTCAATGCGGGAAAAAACATCGCACATGCACACGCATATAATATCAGCGATGAGTAAGGTCGGACTTGCATCCAAGCGTGTGTGTTTTTTGCAAAAAAAAATAAGAACTCCAAGGAGCTCGCAGCAAGTATAGTACGTAACATAAGCTGCTTTGGAGCTTCGTTATGTGCGTTTTGAAAAAGTGAATATTTTGCTCTTTTTTCTTTCTTTATCTCGTCCCTCGTTCTCTCTATCTCTTACTGGACGAAATTTAAATTAACGCGTTATATACATATAGCAGGCAGATCCACTTAAAAGTTACGCTAGTTTTGCCGTATACGTATGTATGTATAAGTGCGCGCGAAAGCACAAGTACCAAAGTACTTACTTTCGAGTGCGCTCGTGTTCTTACACACACACACACAGAGTTATGACACACGTATAGGTGTGACGCGCGAAATCGTTTAAAACAAAATTTTTTTTTCCTTACTCAACCTGACCGATATGAATTTAAGCGGCGAGTATCATGGTGTACACGTGTAAGCGCGCCCCGTGTGCTAAGCAGCTTTGCGCGCAGGAAACATAAAATAACCATCTGTCGTGTACCATCGTCGTCGTCGTCGTACCTTTGCTATGCGCATAGTTAAGGGCAGAAAGTGTACGACGTGTATACGTAAGAGGGAAAGAGAAAGAAAGGTCAAGAAACGCCAGATACTACCCCACCTTGAGAGAGGGTTGAGCTAGTCTAGTCTGCTTCATGGTGGTGTACGTGTATGTGTGCGTGTGCATGTGTATTGTATATGCCTCGGGCTGTCTATGTGTGTATACGGTACACACACGACTCCGGCGCTGTAAGGGGGCAGTATCGATTAGTGCAAAACCCGCTGCGAACGCGAGAACTGCAGCTTTAATGATAAAACTTTGCCGTCTGGTCGGTTCTCACTCTCGCTCGCTCACCTCATCTTCTTCTTCTTATAACGTCGCTATTTCGTCGCCGACGCCGCATTCATACAAAAAAATATATACTTATAGATGTATAGAGTGTACCGGCCAGACGACGAAAATGCCCGATCGAGCGGAATTTCCGATGAGATGCGGACTCGAGAGCCAAGACAGTTTGATTACTAATATTAATATTATCATCGTTATTATTATTGACTCGAGTGTATTTCTATAATTTCAATGGTAATGGTAAAAATATTCAAAATATTCAGTAATGCTCATTGATTGACGAGTTTGCATAAAAAAACATCAAATTTGACTATCGATATGAGTGAGAACACTTTTCAAAACATAAATTTCACGACAAGAATAAAACCGTAGTGAAACTAAAAAGACAAAAAAAAGAGAGAGAAACGAAAACCTAGCACCGACCTATTGTTATCCATGCATGAATAAAGTCGAACAAAAGAAAAACAGAGCAAAAGGGGATATAAAAGGGATTAAACGATATGTGTATTGCAGAGAATCCGCGCGATAAATCGTTCATTACGCGGCACGTGATATACGTAACATAGTATATTTTTCACGGAAAATAAAATTCGATCGGTCCCTTCAAAAATTTCCTATAAATCATCGTTGAATATTATTTAATTACCATGTATGAGAAAATTCGAGTAAATATTTACACCGCTCGTAGAAACGACAGAGAAAGCGCGCGGCACATTCGGGCCGTATCGGAGAACTTTTACAAGTCGAAGAAGAGAAAAAGTCGTCGAAAGACAAGTTTTTAAATCTCGTTAACGGATCACGTATATTTTATACTGCTCGAGCTGATGCGCGCGTTGGAGAGAAAGCTCCGACAGCTTTGGCAACGTTTGACAAGTTCTAAAAGTTAAGAGACATTTTTGCAGTTTGATTTTTTTTTCTCCAAATTTTCTTTCTTTTTTCACGCACAGGCGCAAAAACACACTCGCGCGTATGAAAATTTACGACAGCATAAAACAATTATAGATTTCAACTTGAAATATTTGACCTGAAAATATAGATGAAAAATTATTTTACGAGATAAACTGCACGCGTGCGGTCTCGTCGAAACTAAAAAAAAAAAAAAAAAGAAAAAAAAAGCGAAACACTGACAACTTTCGTATAATTGATGGAAAAATGCATATAGGGTAGCGTTCAGCTGGTTTTGCTCGATAATTCAAAAATTGTCCGCACGCTCGACCGACCGCACACGTTCATAAATAACGCACACTCTCGTTCCCGCGGCTATATATATATATCTCTCTCTCTAGGACCCAGATAGCTATTAGCCCTAATATCGTGAAAGTTTTTCATCGTCAACGTTATAACCCGGACACTTTACTGTCCTTCGAAATTGAGATGTCAAACTCTCCCTGCATCGGGATGGCGCGCGGGAAGAATTATGTAGACCAAGTGTGTATGTGTGTGTATATACCTATATATACCTTTCAACCAAGCCGCACCAGGCCAGTAGTCGGCAATAACTTCGAACTGGGTCGTATTCTGTATAAACGCAGAAACTGCAATATGCAATATTCAATCTTCAGTGGGGTTTCCCCGAGTACATAAAACATCCGTCTATATGTTACAATAACTTAAGCTCTCAAGCTCTCCCTCTCTGTTATTTCCAGGACAGTATTGCATTCAGAAAGGAATAATTTTTTGAAGCATCTTGCTTTTGAGAGGCTGCCTACTTCACTCGGTATCAACGTTTATATATCGGTCGAGCTTATGTTAAAACAGTTTCAAGGGGGAAAACATACACAAAAATGACATTTTATGCAGTGCTCCGATGGATGGAAAGTAAACAATTCAACTACTCGAAGTGGTTTGTAGAGTGTTTCTGTGATACATGATGTCTCGTGTCACAAAAGAAAATAATACAGAATACGAAAGAGAGCTTAATTTTTGGTAATTTTCAATCCTGCACGAATAATCAATTGATATGCTAAAACCCATAATTGCTAATGGAAAATTACTGCATCAAAGTAAGATTCTTTTTCAGGTCAATGAATATACGATGACAAAGTGCAAAAAGCTGGCAAACTTACATCGACCATGGCATTAGTTTCACGAATGTAAAAAACCCCTCGAGTAGAAGAGATGTGACTCACCTAGAACATAAGAAAAAAAAGCAAATAAATTAATGAATGAGTAAGTACGTTTGTTCGACTATCGCGCGTTAATATCAGAAAACGACAATGGGATCGTTTCACACTAACAAAATCATCGCGCGCTATGAATAAAAATACAATAAAATACACGTGCTGTAGTACGACATGTAGCACACATTATTTCCCATAACGCAAATACTTGCACAGTACATGTAAAAATAGTTTCTTTCTCTAAAAAAAAAAAAAGAAAAAAAATGAGCAGGAGAAAATTCCCGTTTAATGCCCACTCATTGTATAACGATGAATAAATAAAGTAATAATGAGGTCGTTGTCGAGCACGACCTTTTGATCGCATTCTATGTATCTCGTCGAATTAGAACGAGATTGGAAAATGATATCAATCAGGCGAAAACCTAAAATCTAAAATTTCGCACAGCTCGCTCGAGAACGATACAAATCAAAGCCCGCGCGCGCGTACAAGTAATCAATTTCAATCGTTAGTTTTTCCTCGCGCTTCACGGCGCGCGGACACCCTTATAATACGGGACGTGACGACGTCTCGTACACTCGCGCGCGCCAATCGATACTCGCGCCCACTCTTTCTTGCTCGCTCCCCCTTTCACGTCATGGCAAACACAAATCCCTCATCGTTAAGGGGGATGACGCGCGCCTCCTCTCCTATTTCTAAATCTTGCAAACTTTAACGCGTATATGTATGGGTGTAAGCGAAAGAGGAAGGTCAACGACCCCCTCGACGTTTCACAGTTTGTGGTGTGTGCGCTAGTAACAGTAGTCGTCGATAAGTACCGAAAATTTCACGCCCGCTACTTTCATTAGCGACTGCGCTGCGAGGGTATTTTCTGGTAGGCTTGTTGCTGCGCGGCTGCGACGTGTCTTGTTACAAGGATCGAGAGAGAGGCTTTTTTGCTTACTCCGCTGACTGATCCCTACTGCGTGAATAGACGACTCAAAGAAAGTTCGAGTCTCAAACGTCAAAAGATTCGAATTTTGATTTCATAGTTGTCACTGAGCAGCAATCGGACAAGGAGATAACGTCAGAAATAGCATTGAAAAAATGAATCATTCGAGCAAAATATCAAGGTACGACGTAATTGAATTAAGGTGGTTGAGTAACGATTCCAACGTTGCGAAATCGAATTCGATTCATTTACACGCATTATTAGCTGACGCGTCACGGTGTCGGCACGAAAAAAAAAAAAAGAGAAAAAAAAAGAAAGACGACTCGAGCGTGGAATTTCATAATAATCGAGGAGAGCTCGAGAAATGCGCCTGTATGTGCGCGCGGCGCGCATTATGAAAGTGACATCCTCATTACAGCAATTGTCTTTTGATTAAAATTAAGCCTCTCTCTCTCTCTAGTAGGCTTACATATATATATGTACGTACGTACGTGCATACGACATGGAAAACGGAGTTATGTCATACGTGTGCCGTATGCGAACGTTTGAAGCATGTCTCACGCGCGTATAATTACTTGAAATATTCAATTAATATCAGCGCAAGGCGCCACCAACGGTTCGAGCGCAATGTGCTGCAGCAGTCGCGTTGGTTAAAAATGTTTTCTTCTTGGAGAACAAAAAAAAATAAAAGAGAGAGAGAGAGAGAGAATAATGCGAAATTGAGCAACGCGATGCAATTTGCTTTTCTTTCCTTTTTTTTTTCCTCGAGTAAAACTCGAGTCAAGCATATAATGCTTTGTACACGAAACCAGCGACTGTGTTGCTATACAGTCCCGAGCGAGCGAGCGCAGTCAAATGAGCAAAAATGGAAAATTATGATAAACGCTCGTGGCTCTCTTTCACTGTGTTGTCGGGATATTATTTCCAGTGGTTTGAGCGAGTTGAAACAACAATTTTTTTTTTCTCGCCACTCTCCGAGAGGCCTGTTTATGAAAAAATCTAGAGTACTTTTCAGGACAGGCGCACACGATTGGCTCTCTTTGTCGGTGTGCAAATCTACACAAATTAGAGGGCAATGTTACATAGTCGAACGAGAGTGAAAAAAAGGGGGAGGAAGGAGCGTATATAAGCGCAGCGCGACATGACCCACTTATCGGATCCAATTCAGGGAGTAGAGAGTGAGAGAGAGGAGGGTCGTCAGAGCATAATGTACCTCGAGAGATAACGAGTCTAATAATTACGAACGCGTTTCGCTAGTAATGCCTACGTTGGGATTCATTTTTCTCTTTTCGACGTCGCCGTTTTGCTGAACATCGAAGCGAGCTGAAACTTTGAAAAGAAAATTATCCGAATCATTTGACACCGCTTTAATTTACTTACATTGTAAGGGGGATCGTTAAGCCATTTGAAACAATTTTTATGAAGATTTTTTTTTTTTTTTTTTTGCGAGTGTAACTCGAAGAACCGTATAAAAGTTGATATTTAAGTATACCGGGGAGATTTTAACACGCCGCCTCTTACAAGAGTCTGTCGCTTGTTTAAGGAAACGCGAAACTAATTTACTCCATCAATCTAAAAAAGAAGGTTAACACCAGAAGAGAACGAAGGAGAGAGTTTTCTTACAGCTTCGAGCTGCAGCACAGCTCCTATAAAAAAAAATCATAATAGCAAGGATGGTCTCTCGTGCCGGAGAAGCAAAAAAAAAAGGAGAGAAAAACCAGTCAAACGGTAATGCAATTACTATAGACGCAAGAATGACGTGGAAAACCACAAAAGCGCGTAGCTCACCGAACGACCGAGTGTCCACGATAATAATTTTTTTGTGCAATACGACAACGAAAGCTCGATAATTAAAAAATTGTACAGTTTTGTAAGGTCATTACGATCGCGAAGACGTTTGTTTATGCTAATAATAATACACGGCTGCACGTCGTGAATTTTCTATTGCCGTCAACTGTACGTATGTACGAAATCTCACGCGATGCAGGGACTGCTGCTGCTGCTGCTACAATGACGAATCGTAAAATCATACGTACATATAGAAATACACACAGTAGCGTGCGTGAGTTTATTACGAGTTAATCTCTTTTCTCTCCCATGGTTGTGCAGTTTCTGCTGCTTCGCTCGCTCGCGCGCATAACCCGAGAAATCATTATTTTATACCTCTCTGTGTCATGGTATATACGCAACGTATATAACTACGATACTGCTACTACTATACGACTATCGCGATGACGAGCGCAATACCAAGAACAATGGGAGATGGCCTATAGAATGCGATGCGCGCGGCATACGCGCGATGTCCTTTCAGTATATATATCGAAGCGGAGCGAGAGATGATATTCGTTGTATCTCTCGCGGTGTGTTTGCGTTATATACATTAGCGGCAGCGGTCTGCAGTTATCATTGTTATAAATATGTACCCGTGTACGCCATTACGAGGTCAAGTAAACGAGAGAGAGAGAGAGCTTTAGGCTAGCTTTCAATGGGCTCAGGGTATATAATGATACACACATAGGCCAAAGTGTACATACCCACTGTGTACATTTTATCATCCGTCGCTCGCGTGCACCAGCAGCAGCAGCATCGGCAGCAGCAGTTTAGTTGAAAATGTAAGCAACGAGTGATTTTCGCGCATCGCGGGCTTAATAAACGGGCCGATTGATGCGAGAGCTAATTGGTAAAGACCGCGAAATATTACGATGTCTGCATCGGAATCGGCTGTTGGCGCCGCTGTTATACACAAACACACGCACGTTTACACACACACAAGCAGAGAATAAGCATATATACGCTAGCGTACACCCGTTAACCGTTTAATATTTATACAAATTCATGCGCGCCTGCTGCTGCTGCCTATCATCGGACGAAGAGAAAGAGAGAAAAGTACATACATACTGTCTGTTATCGCGAGCAACTTTTTTTCTTCCCTCTGCGTACATGTATAATGTAACTGCAGCTCGGTGCAGCAGCAGCAGCACTAGTAGACTATTTCCCCGGTTTATGTGTATAAAAGCCGAGAACAATGAGTCCAGAACGATTAATTTTGCGGAGAGCAGCAGCAGTAGCAGCAGCAGTACAGTACCAGCACGTAATATAGCGGCTATCGTATACACACTATATATACTGCGATATACACCCATATATATATACAACTTGTGCTGCTGCTGTTGATGCAGTAGTAGTAGTAGTAGTAGCAGTGGCTTGCGATGAAACGAACGCCTTCATTGTCTTCGGGAAAACCGTTATTGCCTCGGATGCGGAGAAAAAAAGTCCCATCGTGCCACGATTTTTCCGCTATATATTCTCCTTCCACGCGGATCGTCACGTGTGCATATAAAGTCGCGTGTGCAGTATACATTATTGTAGTTGCCGTCGATCAATTATACGTGTGCGGATGAGAGGATATTCGGCTATGGAAGCTCGATATTTTTAAATAATTTTACGCGTCCGATCGAGCTCGCGGGGCTGATCGATGATTTTCTTAGAAAGAAGAAAGGAAAGATGCATTAGCAAAATATATCGAAGGTTAAAATCAACAACATCTGCGCCGCCGCCGCCGCCCCCGTCGAATGCCGTCACGAAAAGATGAAATTAGTTCTCCTCGGCTTCGCGTCATGCCGCGTGTGTGTGTGTTATATTATAGCTGCTGCTGCTGCTGCGGGTTCTCGTCATGCACGCGGAGCCAAAGCTTCGTATATATATTTTCAGCATACGAGCCCGTTTGAGGCTGATTTCGCGCTGAGCGTGCTCAATGAGTAAGGCATCCGTATACAGTCGAGGAGAGCAGCGCGCTATGTGGCGACAATTCACACTTCTCCTCGTACTGAAATCAATTGAATACAGGTCGAGGAGCCCTGATTACAGTCGAGGAGCCCTGATTACAGTCGAGGAGAAGTGTGAATTGTCGCCACGTAGCGCGCTGCTCTCCTCGACTGTATGCGATCCCGCAGACTCGAGCCGAGACGACTCGCTCAGCTCGCGTGCGTGTAGCCTGTGCTGTCTGCTACATGTCAAAGTGGCAGGCCAACTCGCGCTGCCTTTAACCTCTCTTTCTTGAATACAAACATATCTACACGAGATAGAAATGTCATTTTTAATTCATGTTTGTGTTCGCACTAAACACGATGACTGTAAAAATGAAGCAGTAGAAACTGAATAATGGAAAGAAATGCAGCGTGACCGATGTTATACCGACTCTACTCATCAAGACACTAGGAAAATCAGTGTAATGAGATTCAAGTTGGCACAACCAGTGCTTTATGCAACCTCTCGTTTTTCAGAAAAAACATATCCACACAAGTTGCATGTACAGTATTTTACACGAGACATACGCATATACAGTATGTAGACGAGAGCCGAAAACTAGCGGCCAAGTTACAGTTTTTAGTTTAGAGTGCTATAAAGAAATTAAATGGAACATAACAATTATGCATGATATAGTTCTCAAAACGAGCTCTTATGCAGAAAAATTGTTAACACATCAATGGCTGTTAGCGGTGTGGATACGTCTCAGCGTGTTTGCAGCGTTGCGGACGCTGTAGTGCCTCGGCTGCTTCGCTTCGCTACGCAGCCTCGGCGACTACAGCGCCCCAACGCTGCAAACACACCTCGACTGTATCCACACCGCATACAGCCCTTGATGTGTAAATAACTAGTACCATCTTTCTCTCTGTCTCGCTTTCTCTGTGGGAGAGATACGCATCGCTCGCCTCTGCCCGAGAGAGAGAGAGAGGAGTATAGAGTCTGTTGTTTCAAGCCATGCGTGTATCTGCTATACTCTCTCTGCGTGTGTTTGTATGTTTATAAGCGTATCTATGTATACACGCGTGTATATGTACATTGGTTAAAATACATACTCGACATAACACACACACGCATGGGCAGAGATATCAGCCGCAACTATATACACGAACGCAATAGGCCATCATCGGCGCACAGTAAAAATAAACTACGCGTGTGTGTGTGTGTGTCTATATAGACGCGGCTTCTCGCTTTTTTGTAGCCGTGTCGTTGGCTTATCAAATTTCGTGCGACAGTGACAAAAAATTGAAGTCTACATAATGGTGACACACACACACACCACGATACACGATAATAATATTATACAGCATAAGAATGGGACATTGAAGAAAGAAAAAATAATGTAGAGCGAGCACGAGTTTAATGCGTGCTGCGCATCGGAGCTGACAGCAGCAGCAGCTCGTCTTTATCGCGATCGGCGATCGTTAACGGGACGTTTTGTGTATACACGATATATATAAAGCTCGTTGCGTTGCGTTGTTTACGGAGAAAAAAAAATACAAGCAAGCCGTTACGTCATCTTCGTCGTTCTGTGTCTCTTTATCGTATACAGCCCTGTGCAGTGCTGATTGGTGTCTGCGTATTTACATCGTCGGAATTATAAACTCGAAGACACGAATTCGCGTATATTATATACGTTTCATCGAGTATTACATATTATTATTGTACGTATGTATAGATATCCGCGATAATCCAAGCGTCGAAACTAAATCATAATTAATTGGCGGGCGCGCGGCAATAATGGTTAGCTGCTGCTGCTGCTGTTGTACGCGATCGATACGCGCCACACGCCGAGCTTTGGACGTATAGAAACAATGAATTTCACTCGCAACTGGGTAATGGCCCTAAAATAGCTGAGTCAATATATCCCAGATGTAACTCCGTTCTGTCGTCCAGCAGCACCCGCCCCCGCGCGAGGCACACACACGCGACGGCGTCACGTATGTATATTAAAGTTATATAGTTGCGCGAGGCAGCAACCAACAGCAATGAAATTGTGTAAAATAAACTCGCGGCGCGTGGGGGGCTGCTGCTGCTGCTGGTTATATGCTACATATACACAGCGCGCGAGACACGCATTATTACGAAGCGAAAGGGAAAATTCGGTCGGTCGGACTGCCGATCGTTGTTTAAAATAATCACGGTACAATAGATCGGGGATAAATTGCACTGTCACGATCAGCAGCAGCAAAAGCAGCATCAGCAAGTGCCCAGTCGCGATACTATACGATTTCGTGTAATTCCGGCACGACTGCTGCAATTAGACATTAAAAGAAAAAAAAAAGGTATTGATTTTGTACCCCCTTTTTTTTTAATCGTGCTGGATTTTACGTAATCTGACCTTACAATTATTATCCGTGCAGAGAGCGAGAGAGAGAGAGAGATAGAAAGACACATATGCAGGGCTGCTGCAGCAGGTTGCGTTACGCTCGCGAGCGCATATGAATGTTTAATTAGATTAACGAGCTGAATTTGTAAAGAGGACAATGTGTACTTTTGTGCACGTACACACACACGTATGTGGAAGAGGACGTGGATTCGATCACGTGACATTTATGACGAAGAGAGAAATATATACTGTATGTAACTCCGACGTTGGTATAGCCGGACAATGCCGCGCGCGCGTCGTTGTTGTAAGGGGGTATATAAGAGAGTATGTGACGACGGCGACGACGACGACGACGATGTGATACCCGGGACGATAATAACAATCAGCCATCCGTGCGCCGCTGTGCAGCTGTGTGGAGCGTATCGGAAATCGATACACTTATTGTTTAAGCCCGACGACTTTGGAGGAATGATGAGGAGGAGAGGGGGAGAGGGGGCTAAGGCTCAAATAATTTGATTAATACATAACGGATTCATTGTTGCAGTCCAATGCGCTTAATAATTTTCAATTCGTATCGACGACGAGTCCTCCTCCTCCTGTACTCGAAAGCTCGTGCTCTCATTGCGCTACGTTCAATTAAAGGTTGAAAATAAGGAGAAAATGCAAAGGCCTCGCAGCAGCGGAAAAAAAGAAGCAGAGAGTAAGAAAATAAACAAATCAGATACGTCAAATCGGCGAGCGTGTAAGACACCGGCGCGCACAACGAGCTGCCAAGAGCCTAGAGACTCTTCTAGACGTATCATTCCGCTTTATCTGGCGAAACAAGTGCAATCCTAACGGCACAGGTTGTATATATTTATTATTATATACAGCTACTGCTGCTACTACAACAACAACGGCAGCAGCGGAGCCCGAGCGTTATCGTCTATACATACAGGACTACTACTACTACTACTACGACTACGATGCGATTTCACGCCGAGGCGCATCTTATTTGCCGCCAGCTTGCGTCACTTATATATATCTACTGCAGCAGTTTGCGCCGGAGCTTTTCTCTTCCGTTTCGTGTAGATATGTGTGTATATAATATACCTTGTTACTCTCTTTCTCTCTCTCTCTCTCTCCCATCTCGCAATTTACAATAGCGCGAGACAGCTCTAATCAAACTATAGAGAGAGAGAAGCAACGGGGAACGTCGTGTCACGGTCTAGATCGGACTCGATCTGCATATGACTCTTTTTCTTTTATAATTTCATTTAAACGTTTCGTTGGCTGCAGAGTTCTCGACATTGACTCTTGTAACGCGAACGATTGTATAAAGGATAGATAGGTAATATGCAATCGATTGTGTGTGTCGCGCGACACGTCATAACTACTCGCTGCTAAATTTGCATATATATTTAATTAATTCGCAGTCGGACAATTGCGTCGCGCGGCCCCGCAACGCGATTCCGACCGCGGCTATAACCGATGATTATCGACGAGCCTATTGTTTTGAAATAATTACAAAATCGTTCGATTACGCGGTCTGTCTCGCTCGCGAGCTTTAATCCTCTCCGTAAAAGGAGACGTATTATGAGGCACCGCACGACGGATTCCGAAAATAAAATAAGTGTCATCGACTGAATGATAAAACTTACACGTGTTCCATCGAGTATTACGAGACGTGTAAACACACTTTGGGATTGTTTTTTTTTTCAACTCACCTGAAACAGAGAAAAAAACGAAAAAATATTATTAATTAATTAATCAACGCTCGAAGAAAGTAAATACAAGACGCGCGCGTTACGAGACTCTCAACCCCCCTTCGTTCTCACTCGTTCTCATGGACTCTCTGCTACGTGTGTGTGTGTGTGTGTATACACACGGACAGAGAGCGAGAGTAAATATCACACGCACCACCATCATCCCTTCCTCGACTCAAAGTGTATAAAAAAAAAAAGAACTACCGAGTGAAAACGAGCGAATATGCGAGAGAGCGCCAAGTACATATAGCATGTACACATGCAAACCAGCCGAGCTTGAAAAAAAAAACGAAAAAAAAGAAAGAGTCGGCTAGTTCTCCCGAAATGAACCGGTGTTTGTGTTTGTGTGTGTATGTTGTCGTCGTCGTCGAGTCGACAAGCGACGATGAACCTATTGTCGCTTAGAAACTCGCTCGCTTATAGGTGTCTGTATACATACGCACACGTCTTATAATTGAGAAAACGCGCGCTTAGACAGAGAGAGAGCTCGGAATGAGCGAGGAGAGACGACGAGCTGTATGAGTCGACACACACGAGCTACAGCGAAAATGTATAATATTTTCACGACGTGTTTTTTTTTTTTGGAATAGGCACGAGGCGGTGACTACGGTGCATTTACATAGAAACACACGAGATGAACAATTTTTAAAAGTCAAATGTTTGCTGCTTAGAAGGAGAGAGCAAATTTTAGTAACATAAAATAATTTCCATGTCCATTTGTAAGAATCTCGGTTCTCAATGGGACGCGGAGATAAAAAAAAATTCAAGCATCGTTGCGACGAGACGCTATACGTTCTCGCTCATTTCTACCGGGCATAAAGCAAGAGACTCTTCATTTTCCATTCTTCACTTAGAAGACCTTGCCCTTGCCATTGTAGTCTCTTGCCTCTTGTCTATATCTCTTTTTTTATAAATATTCCATCTTCGCGCGCAGTTTCACGAAATTTCGACTTGGCAACGGCTCTTTCGATCGAATCATTTCCCCTCTCGCCCTGCGTCTTTGTTATGATCGGCGTGTAAGCAGTCGGTATAGCTCGCGCGCGAGAGCCTCGATCTAATTAGTCCAAGATTCAAATTCCAAGCAGTTTCCGACGCGACGCTAAGGACACCGGTTGAGACTGTATATCAAAATGACGACGAAAGTAACGCACTCCGACCAGATGAGATTCATGATCGAGCAGCGCATGATCCGAATGGAACTGCACAACCTGCTGGGTGAAAAACAGAGCGACTTTAAAAAATGTACCCAGTTGCAGAAGGAATTGTACGAGCTCAAAAGTGATTTTGTCTGTAAGCATCGCTCTCTCTTTCTGTCTCTCTGTCCCAAAATTATCTCTTCCGTGTCTCCTTACCAAAATGTCGGACAACAATAATAATAATGATAATTTGTTTGTTATTGCCAGCGAAAAATCATGAGATCTACACATGTACTTTAAAAGACTTGGTGGCTCAAACAGATCGAAAACTGAGTCATTTGATAATGGAGTGCGACCGTCGCAAAGATTCGGAACAACCAGTGGACAAATCAATTTTACGCGAATTAGATGAAATTAGGTAAATTTACATTGTTTATTAAGAAGGTACTGGTAACTTAAATTAAAAATTTGAAAATTTACAAACATGACATCATCATTGAGATAATAAAATTAAAATTTTGAAATTATTTCTGATTCAGAACGTTGAACCAGATTCGTAAAGCAATGTGTAATGGTTATCATTGCATTGTCAACCAAATGGATGATGAAGAAGCGTTTAACGAGGCCCGATTGGACTTGATTGTAGAGATAGCATCTATTTGGATCTATAACCAAACAGAAGAAGACGCCAGAAAAAATGAAGAAAGGGAAAAAGAGGGAAAGAAGAAAAAGATGAAAAAACCGTTACAAGATTATGTGGATGATCTCCTCAAAAAATTGGGCTCCAAAGATAATGTGGAACTGAATCCAATGGAAAAGTCATTGAAGGACCTCTTTGAAAAAACGTACATTCAAATTCAGGAATTGCAATGTTCCATCAAGCAAATGAGAGCTAAATTGCAACGGTTTTATGCTGCAGCAACGAGATACCTTCCACCATCCGAGAGTGACGATGAATTGTAAAAAAGATCTCCTCTCAAATCCATAAACCGAATCTTAAATTTGAACCATGTCAAAATTTTTGTTGTAAATATTTTTTAATTTTTGTACTACAGAAACATAGGCAGATAATGTCTATTGTAACTCCGATCCTGCCTTAGCGTCTAATTTTTATATCATCAACTAAGAGTATTATTAAAAAAATAATAATAATTTCAATGTATGTAACGTGATAAACAAATGTACATATAGAAATGTAACAAAGCCTACCTGCTTTATCGATAAGGTTAATAAAAATACTTTCGATATAATTCTTTACTTTTTACTTTTTTATCTATCATTCGAGTAGAGTTCAAAAGTTTTTGAAACTGCAGGTGCGTTTAAAAATGTCACAGCATCGAAGCATTCAACGCCATAGATTCGTTTGCAGATACTCATTGAGTTTGTAATAAATTTGAAATAACGAGAGAGAAACGGGACGGATGAACGCGTATTTTAGTTGAAAAGTCGTGAGACTTCTTCCTGCAGTTAAAGAGGGGGAGGGGGAGGAGGATACCAAGTTCGGCAGGTGTCTGCGGTGACTGTTAAACTGCGGCTTCGTTTTCCATGACAACCCTCAATCGAGGCACGCGATGCGTTCAAACTTGTACAATCGATTGTTTTAACTGGAGTAAGAAAAAAAAAACAAAGCAAATTTTAATTTTAACCTGTTCGTATACGCGAGGCTACTGAACTGCCGGAATACGTTTGCATTGAACGCCACGTGTGGATGTATGTGTGTGTGTGTGTACAAGCGAAAATAAATACACATATCGAGGCAATTTCTACGTCAATCGATGCAACGTAAATAAGCCAAGAGTCCCGCGAGTTATTTCGAGCGGCCAGAAATGAAAACAGATTTTAAATAAATAATAAAATTATAGAAATGTCAAGATGGCGTGACTACATTTTAAATTCACGTGCAGTAATATTAATTGAAAAATTGTGGTTATTGTGGCCAAGTGACTTTAAAATAAATACATCAAACATTCGTTACGTTTTTATAAAAACATTGGAGTTTCAGTGCGATAAAGAATATGTTGTAATAAATGCGTACAACGATGTATACAAAGGATTATCGATGTAATACGCCTGCAAATACGAGGAAATTATGATATAATTTACATACGCTCTGTTTAACTGCCGCTCCGTGCGAGAGTCCATGTTATAAATAATATTCAACAGATTGTGCAAGACAAAATTTGCGATCACGTAAGTCAATCAACTAATGCGATTTTGAAATTAATCCAATGCCAAGTACAAAGATAAATTTTCATTTTTCAGCGTAAATCTCAAAGATGAATTGTAATTTAATCAACGCGCGTTACGCTAGATCGCGGCAACGATGTATAATGCAAGCTCTGAATTATCGTGCAAAAACTTTTTAATTAAAAAAGCAACCCCAATGTAATTTTAATCGCGCCCATTTTCTTAATTAAAAATTACGATGAAACACATTCAAAAGCGGTTTTTTTGGGTGTAAGCAAACGGTTCGAAGTCAATTTAAAAGCGATTTTGTTGGAACTTCTCGAGAAAGAGATGCAACAAAAATCGCCCGCGCGACCTTGGCTTTGCAATTTCGAAGAATTTCTCGAGCTACTTTGACAGAAAATACGAGCAGAAAGTATAACTTCCGCTTAGTTAAACCAACGATAGGAAATATAAAAATACGCTTGAGTAAGGAACTGCAAGTTCGTTTCGCGTGCAAACGGGTGGAAAAGTTTGTCTTGGTCTGCAGATTCTGCATGAGCTTTCGCGCAGTGCATACACCGGAATGATAAATATATTAATTTATGAATGCTTGAAGACGTTTTTCAATATAATTTTCTGAAAGCTCAAGTTATTTTAGTAAACTTTTTTCAAAGGCATGACAATGTCAATTTTTTTTCCTAAGTCCAAAATGAACTTTAATCAATAAAAAAAGTAAAGTAGTTTACAAACTGCTGTAAAATAATTTTTTAAACTATCGACAAAAGTAATTGTTTAATTATAAAGTGTTCATAAATTGAAATTCTTAAACTTTTTTTTATGATAAGTTTTGCAATTACGTTATACTGAAAGCGTAATCAAGTCTGATTAATACTTTTCATGAGTTTACTCTTTCATAAAATAATCCCAAGAAATAACATTTCTCGTTTGGAGAATGAGTTGTGAAACTTTGCTCGGTTCAACTTTTGTTATAAAAATCTCGGAAACCAGATAAAATAAAACTTAAGATTGTGAAAAAAAAAACATCAAGCTGACAGATTTAAATTCACATTTAACGTTTTAAACCCAAAGCGATCGAAATTGCACCGACGACACTGGCCCACACTCTTTTAGTTTCATCGGTAAATAATGAAGTTAATAATTTTGCTTCGTAGTCGATACACGACTGCAGGATAAAAATCGCTTTCTACATCCTCGGGCTCTTTTTCTTTGCCTCCGAGAGCGCGTGCGATGCGTTATTTCCGGTCTCCCTGAAGTGTGTGAGTCACGTAGTAGTCATAAGCACCGAGCTCCTTTTTCCTCTTTTTTTTTCATTCTTCTTTTTTTTCGTCGTCGCGAAGCTTGTTAGCGAAAACAAGGATCGGTTCGGCACAATGTAAAAATTTGTGTATCGCTACGTGCGTGGCTTTTTTTTTATTCTCAACTTTTATACGCAATCGCCTTTGAGTTAACACAATTAGCCAAAACAAAAATTTAAATCTCAGAAAGCTTTGTACGTTGAATCGTTGAGAAACGTCGACGATAAAATTTTATCTCTTACAGTCGAAGAAACTCGGCACGATTCAATGCAGCGGCGCATGCGGCGCCAACATTAATAATAAAGTAATTTTAGACTGTTTAAGCGACATCAATAAGAATTATAAATTTAAATGAATTTCGTTCGTACGGTCGAGGAGATGCAGATGCAGCGTGGAAAACTCGAAATGTGAAAGAGATAAAATGAGGGTGTTGCGCGGCCCGATGCATCATTTCAATCAATGTAACGTCGCGCACGTAAAATCTATTTCTCCGAGAAGTATAGCGTTCAATCGAGTTTGATTTTATTTACCGGTGAATTCTCGGGAGCTTTAAAGTCTACGTAACCCTTCAAACACTTGACACACATATATATCGAGACGACGATTTTGCTCGATACTCTCTCACTTTTTTTTTCCTCTTTGTCTCGATGAATTCGTTAGATGGCTTTGACGCGCGAGTGTACGTGTGTACGTGTGCGAATTGCAAACATACAGTCGTCATGACAAATGGAACGATTCGGCTTAAATATCTTTTGATTAAAATTTGCGATTAGTATATATACCGAGGCCATTTTGAATTCCAGATAAAAGTTTAGTGTTCCAAATTGCCTTTAATACACTTCAGCTTTTATCTTTGCGGACGATCATCTGCCAATAACAGAATTGCCTAAGATTGACTCTATTCCGCTTTGCCTCTGTGTTTCTATTCTCCCTCAATCACGCGCGCGCCGCGTATTAGAGTCTCTCTCTGGCTCGCAATCGAAGCACATATTGCAGCGGAGAAAGGAGAGAGAGAGAGAGAGAGAAAAAAATTGAGAAAAGCCTATAGACCATCAAATTGAATTAATTTAGAGCTATATACGGTATAACTCCGAAGCATCGAGACACGATGATAATACCAAAAGTCGACGAGGCCGTTCGCTTTAGTGGCTATTTGTAGCCGAGCCAGTTGCATGCGAGACGAGTGAAAAGAAAGAAAGTGATATCAGCGGATTTTGTCTGCGTCTGTATATTGTAAAAGATAAAATCGAATTGTCCGACTCGTTACTTTCTTTCCATTTTTTTTTTTACTCTCCGCTTTTCTTATCTATAATTTTCGGTTTGCATCGTCTATCAACAAAAATTTTCACACCCGAAAATGGAATGTCGTTTACGAAGTAAAGAAAAAATAATTAGAATTCCAGACGCAACAATAACTTTTGTCGCGTACGGATAGATCGAAGAGTCGAGCTTCGCGCAGCTGTGGTACTATATTATATATAACAGCAGCAGCGGCGTGAAATACTTGAGACGTCGTCGTCGGCGCGCTGCGTATACAGAAACTGGTTACGGATCAATAAGTATCCCAGGAGGAGTCAGAAGTCATATAGCATACACACAATATCAGGAATGTGTGTACACGCGCGCGCGACGAAGCGAGTGTACTATATACAAATTTGCAGACACACACACATATAGACAGAGAAGTTATTCGACGCGATGCGACGCGCGAGCTTCATTACTTATATCCGGGAGAGAGAGAGAGAGAGAGAGAGAGAGAGAGAAAACTTCATGTTTTATTCTCGCGATCGGGATTAAAGCGCGATTAAAAATGGAAAACGATCCCACCCCTCCGACGACAGGGAAGTAACGTATAATACCGAGAGAGAGATACAGATATGCCGAGTGTAAAAAGTTTAAAATTCAAGGATTTCTAGGACGAATTTGATTATTTAACGGCGTCGAGCGTTACATTTTTCCGAAATATATTATTATTGCGCGCGAGTTTTATTTTCGAAGAAAACGACGACAACGTAGAGGGCGATTTTTCATCAGTGTAAAAAAATGTTGTCAAAAGCATTGCAAAAATCTTTTAATCTCGTGCCCTCTGAACTTGCTTATATACTCGTATATATATCTAACGAAAAAGCTCATCTTTATGCATACAGCGTTAACGTATATACGTGTACGTGTGCATATACACACAGAGACACCTACGCAGCGCAGAGATAGATAGATAGATAGAGAGGGCGAGCGAGTCAGAGCTTTAAGCAATGAATAGAAATATTACAGCACGGGACGCTGCCGCGTGGAGTTTTTCAAAGTTGCGTACGCGCGCGTATCCGAAGTACGTGTAAATGCGTTTTCTGAAGTTTGTTTGTTTTTTTTTTTGTTACCGCAATTTTCGTGTATCGAATGCAGAGAAATTCGTGTGTATGCTGCTGCTGCTAGTTTTCCGACATTCCGCAGCGGAAATTAAAAGCGCGAAAATAAGTTCACTTTTGCAAAAGCAGTCAAAGGATACACGCGTACGCGTATTTTTTCAAAAAACATTACTGTATTTACGATGTCCACGTACGAAATGAGATCAATTAAATTATCGCATTCGTCAAAAGAACTCTCGAAGTTAAAAGAGCAAAAAAAAAGACCTCATTTTCTGGCAAATCGTCTCGGACAGAGAGAGCTCTCGAGCACACGCACACATACGTACCAGGCCACGATAAGGAGAGGATTTATTGTGTAACAGAGCACGTAATATAAGACCTGCGCGCCGAGTATGAGCTCCG